CATATATATATATATATATATAGATTTCAATGTTTATAATTCAAGTCAAGCCATGGAGAAATGATTATTGCTGTGAAGTTAAGAATCGAGAAAAGAAATAGATAAGTGGAAAAACTGATGACACGCTTTCTTTGTTGAAAAGAATAATGTATCAAATGTAAAAAAAGGAAAAGAGTACATCTTTCATGACAAACGTCTTGATTTAGATGTCCAGAATCACACTGGATGGTGTCCAGTTGTAGATAAAACTGTTCCTGTGGGTATAATTTACGTTTAACACTATATATTCGTGTTAGGTTTTTTAAAATATCCTTTAAAATACTCTAAAATTCTCTATATTAAATTCCGTAAAGCAGCATTTCTATTAATCATATTTTCCTCGTTTTAGTAATTAATATAGGCTAACACTTTTTAAAAACTTCAACAATTAATTATATAACTTAAAAGAAACTGTATAAATAATTTAAAAACTTATATAAATAATCTAATATTTTATACGAATTTTTCTACGACAAAAATGAATGTAAATGTATAAGTAATAACGCGACGGTGCGAGAAAATATTTATAAAATTCTAAGAATTTATAGTTAATATTTGAAATAAAAATTCGAATTATTATTAAATTTTTTTATCGCTTTTCAATGATTAAAATAAATATTTTATGCTGTATTAACTTCATTTCTACGATTTAAAGTATATAAAAAAATGTATTCAATTGTATTCTAGTGAGCTTTTAGGAGAGAGAATCTGGCTAATTTTATTGGATTCCGACTTTTATCATTGCATACCAACAGTAGGACTTCATTTTATGAAATTCTTTCTCGTCTCATTCTACTCAATGAACAAAAGCATTTAAGCGTCATTAATTACAAAATGAATAATACTTTATGCGAAAAGTTATAAATAAATTTCTCAGATATCGCATTCTTTTGTATATCATTAAAACTTCATTTTTATTTATTTATTTTTTTCAAAAGTAAAGGAGAAAAAAGAAAATAGCAAGGAAGAAAAATAAATAAATAAAATGCATACCAGCATGAAAAACATTCGATTATATCAAATGTATACATAGAAGAGATATCATCAATTTATACAATTTTTATATGATACGGAGTGTATTCTGTGAGTTTATATTGATCAATTTCTCACGTAGAAGATATGTTAATAATCTTTTTTTATATTATTTAATTTTTAAATTACATTTTAAGACTAAATATTACAACCACTTCAAATTTAAATCGTGTCTAGACGATGAAAGTATCAAGACGTGAAATTATTTAACTGAAAAGTTTAAAATAATTAAACAACTTTTATTTAATAAGAAATTTAATATTTATAAATGTTTATAAATATAATTTGAGCTTAAATTTAATATATATATATACTTTTGTGGCTT